ATTGCAAATTGGGGGTTTGGGAAGATAATGAGAATCTGCAGAAGCTGTGCATCAAAATTCTTTGGTCCTTGCTATAAAGGGGTGTTGGCATCCTGACTTTAATACAGAAATCTGGATGGTTATAAATGGTGCCCTTTAATAAGTAGAAATGCTGTTTAAGGGCCTCTTCAAACCTTGGTGTTACAGAAGCAAGAGATTGTCTTTTTCCCAGTGTTCTGACAGAATTGAGGCCAAATGTGTGAGCTTTCCATGTTCTTTGCTCCTTGTTGTTTCTCTTGGAAAAAAAGGTAATTTGCTCCATAATTCATTAATGTTGATCTTGTTTAAATTAAACAGTAATACAGGAGAAACTGAATTTTTAAAAGTTAAGCCATGTGTTTCTGATAGAGTTGAAGCAATGAAGTTGTGGGAGCCAAGTACATAGAAGGTCTGTGACCACATATTGCTGATTTCTTCAATAAATGCCAGCTTGGTTTGCATTAGATCTGCCATCCAAAATAAGCAAACCAATGACTACCTCAAATTCAGCATGACTTAACTATAAAAGGTGAATCAAACATTTTAAAGATAATATTTGTAGAGCTGCAAGCTGTGATAGTCTAGGATTGATTTCAGTTGCATAGTCCTAAGCTGCAATCAGTGGTGCTTAGTGGAGGTGAAGGCAGAGCAGAAATCAAAGCAGCCCTACTGCTACTGTAGGTAGCCAAGGCCAGCTGGAGCAAACCCCAGTGTTGCACATGGAGCTTCTGAGCCTGCCCAGTCTGATTTGCATCTCCTGCAGGGAATGCTTCCTCATTCACCTACCAGGCAGTTCCTTGTTGGAAACAAATAGCTCTTTGTTACTCTGGTCATATAATATCCTATAAATGCTTAACCTAGGCCTCTTCAAAGGCCTGTGAATGGGAGCCTGTGAATTTTAACTGACTCTTTAACTCCATTAACCTTTGTCTTTGAAAAAAAATCCCTGGACTCCTAACAGCTAACAAAAGGTTTCCTCCTGCAAGTGTCTTGAACCCTTTTTAAATTTTATATTCACATGCCAGAATTGAAAATGCAATTGCAAAGAAGTCTGTCTATTCTATCCCCAATCACTTGTTCGTCATTAATGACAAGAAGTTGAGTAAGTTTGGAAGACTTTTATTTTCAGGATAAATCCAGAAATCTGCTGTGAAGTGACAATATTATGCAAACTGGCACCTGTGTTTTCAGATTTTCTACTGTTCAGCCAGGCCTACCTAAAATAGTTAGGAAAAAAAGACATCTGTTTCCATCATAGTGAAGATACTGTTAGGCCAGAGCTTTGGGCAATTACAAAAAAAAAAGGCATAAGCCCTTTAAAATCTTCAGTCCAACTTTACTGACTTGTGTCCTTTCAATGTTCTTGTATATTCTGTGGGCTTTTGTGGTCGTAGAATCATAGAATCACCTGGGTTGAAAGGGACCTTAAAAAGGGACCTTAAAGATCACCTGTTTCCTACTCCTCTGCTGTGTGTTTGGGACACCTTCCACTAGAAGAGGCTCTTCAGAGCCCCATCCAACCTGGCCTTGAACCTCCAGGGATGGGGCATCCACAACTGCTCTGGGCAGCCTATTCCAGTGCCTCGCCACCCTCACAGCAAAGGATTTCCTCTTAATATATAATCTAAGCCTGCTCTCACTGAGTTTGAATCCATTCCCCCTTGTCCTGTCGCTACAGGCTCTTGTAAAGTCTCTCTCTTGCAGGCTCCCTTTAGGTACTGGAAGGCTGCAGTATTTTTGAGGCTGAGCAATCCAAATTCTCATAGCCCATCCTCATAGGATGATGTGGTGAGGACACAGCAGCTCCTCCCATAGTCATTTTGTCTCCTTGATTAAATTAGAAATATGTTTTCTCTGCATCGTATTCTTGCTAAGTAGTAATCTAAAGTAATAATCCTTTCTGTTCCTGCCTGTTGCAGGAGTTTTCCTTCCCTCTGCCTGGCAGGTCCAGTCTGTGCCTTGACTTTCACATATTACCCCGGGCAGACAGCCTTTGGCCTCTCTTTGGTCCAGTGCATTGAAACATTCTGCAGCATTAGCTGTTAGTGCAGTTTAATGCAGCAGTTGGCTGGGACCTGATTTTTATTTCCACCTGGACAGTCAAGCTCCAAGTGAGACCACTATGAAGAAGTACTAAAAAGTGTGGGGCAAGCTCCTAAGTGCAGTAAGATTCCAGGACCAGGCTGGCTATAAGCTCTATATCCAAACAAAAAAGAACAATTTGAACTTGTGAAAATGATGGTTTAAGGCATCTGGACACAGTACATCAGGTGGCCATTGGGTCTTTGGTGCCAGCTCTTTGACTTCCAGATGTGCTGTGCTTCCAGATGCAGAACTACTGGCTAGCATAGACAGAGCATTGCTTTAATCAGGTGTGGATCTGTGCCCTGGCATCACATGGCTGCTATTAGTATAGATGTGTATAGTATGAATATTGTTTTGATATTTCTGTGTAGATATACCCTTAGCTAGGAGAGTCCTAACTGTCTCTAGCTCTACCCCATTCAGAGTCATGTACAGTTTATCATCTGGAGTGAGCCTATGGTGTATTTGTTTCCATTATTAACCAGGTTGGAAGGGAAATGAAATAATTTTTGGATTTTGGACAGAAAAAAGGGATGCTGTTCCAGATGTCTGGAGCTCCCACCTTTTGCTACTGATGCGACTTTCTTGTTTGGAGACAAATTTCCTCAAATCTTGTTAATGAGAACACCACTTTATTGGTCTTGGTGTTAAAAAGGAAACATCTTGTACTGTTCCCCCTTGTGTTGCTGAAGTTCTGCACGAACAGGTCGTGTTAAATACTGTGCCGTGCATCATTTGAAGTGTTCAGCATTGTGATTTTTGGCTGTCAGATCTGTTACATAAATCACAGTTTGATTGTCTTCAAGACTAAGCTTTCTGCTGCAATCTGAACAACACTGAACAGCACTTTGTTTTGGAAAACTGAATTTCCTGTTGTGTCCGTCTGGCACATATGGATGAGAATTCACCAGTGCAACAGAACCAGCCAAGGACAAACATTTGGCATGTTTTATGCTGGAAAAGTCTCATTTCAAAATCAAAGCATGCATATGCACATACTTTAAATGAAGTGGTAAGCGCTTAAAAGGTGGACCAGAATAACAAACATGCCAGTGTTGCTGTTGCCGCTTCTTCAGTAAAAGTTGCATCAGCCATGTTTTGCCCAGGGCACAGTTTGTATGTTGGAAATTTTCTTTCCACTGAAAACATGGAATGATAAGTGAGTCTTCCATTTTTTTGAGGGAGCAGAAGTGCAGTAGACCCATGAAGTTCCTCATATTGGCTGGAAACTTGTGGCTGCTTTCATCCATTTGTGAGAGACCTCTTGTAGTTTGTTTTTCTTCTGAGCCTTTGACTGATACCTCTGTTTTCTCATGGCTTGAGCTCCCAACTCCATGAGTATTCCTTGCTTGTGTTTTCATTCACTTTTGTGAAGAACAACTTAGGCAGCAACTGAATGCCCAAGACAGAGGAAAAATCTCTGCTTAACCAGAGGGGATAGAAATTAAGTCTGCCTAATATGACTCTGCAAAAATAGACCATATTAAAATTGCTTTGGCTTCTTAAGGCTTTGGTTGTTGTTGATGATGCATCTTCTCATCAGGCAGCTTGTAGTTCTTGAGCTTGGAGGCAAGCATGAAGAAGTTTGGGGAGGTATGAACTTAGACTACTTCACTAGTGAGAAAGTGTCCAAAAAGTCTCTTTTTATGCAAAAGGAGAAGAAAGCTCCTCTGAAGAGAGATCCTGGTAGCACATATTCTGCTGTGTGTTGTGTGGATGCCTTATATTGTAGGCCATAAAACAAAGCATAAGTATTTTAGGCTTCTTGCAGAGTTTATACCGAAGGTGAGAGCAATGTTTCTGGTTAAAGTTGTCTGTTTTAATAGGTTCACAGGCTAACTCTCCATAGGCAAATACAGAGACCAAACCATGCAAGAGCCTCAAACCTTTCATTTTTGTGTCGTCATCACTTACCTTACTTGAAAAAGCTTTTTTTTTCTTGAATTTTAAAGATGCTAGAGTTCAGAATATTTGTTGGAACATTTTTAATTAACAGTTTTTGAAAGAGTTTCAAACATTAAGATAAGCATACAAAGAAAGTGCCAGATAAAATAAAAATGAAATACTGAACAGAATTAGTCATACCTCAAGCTTGTGTTGCTTGATTCTGAAAGTTTTTGTTTTAGTACAAGTCCCATTGGGCTCTTCAGAATAATTTCTGTGTTTTGAACTAGATTTCCTGTTTGTTCACATTTTAAGTTATATCTTTAAAGAGTTTTTATGGTTAAGTATGTTTCAGTGATAGTAATACAAACAAAAACGAAGTTTTTAACCTAATTTTATTTTTCTAATTGGAGAGAAAATAGATGTTTCTCACTTGCAGATTGAAAAGGTGGAGCAGGAAGTAGCTTATTACCAATTTCCATTATATACACAAAATCCCAAATATCCTTGTTTGGAAAAAGAAATACCTGATTTTAAAAACATGAACACCTCTGGTCTTCATCAGAACTGTGAGAAGAGAGCTATGGCCATTAAAAAGGTGTAGCAGGTACCTTGCAAGGGAAGTTTCTCGTTCATGAGCTGTAAAAGTAAGAACTGAAGACTTCTTTTTGCTGATGCATTTAATTACACACATTATCTATAAACAAAAAGACCTAGTAGGTACTGCAACAAGCTGGTTCATCCAGTAATAATGAAATGTATCAAATGCCATTCAGTGCAATGGCTGGAGAAGGAAGGTGTTGCAGTTCTACTAGGGAGACTGTCACTCAGAATGGACCAGGAAGTGAAGCTTAGGTAACTTGTCCTAGTTATTTTATATATGTGTTCTAATTTGACCAGTAGTTTATCTTCATTAATTAAAGCAGACATGCCAAACTAGCTTGTGTTCTGCTGTTTCTGAGCATAAGGTTATAAGGATTTAAGCTTTAAAAACATGATTTTTTTTCTTTTAGGCTAAATCCTTGTTTAGTGACCAGAGCTGCCTATCTTGATGTTCTTGTGATGTTGAGTACTCACCTGGAGAAGTTTCAAAAGCAAGGTAAGTGAATATACTGTTCTGTACGTCAGATTTAATATTTACATCTATTTCTGAGCTCTGTTTAACCTGGAGAAACAACAGTATATTACTTGTGCTTAGGGTATCTACTGACTTCTGGAATCCTTCAGCTGCCTTGTGGAAGAAGGCCCTTTATTCTGCCTTTCTCAAGAACTTGTCCTAGGTCTTGTTGAGGAGAAAACTGAGGCACAGTTCCATGTCAAGGCTTGAAGTGATGATCTTGCAGTATTCCAAGTCCTAGAATGGCTAGCAACAAAAAAGTTCCTTTTCATGTTCCAAAATGGTTTTTTAATCCAAAATCCACATCCTGGACTATTGCAACTTTAACCTTTCCAGAAAACCACAGAAATGTTGTTTTCATGCAACACCTGAAATAGTTTCAGGGAAAGGGTTTTCTGATGTTCAGAAGTTTTATAAAAAACGACTCCGAGAGATTCTTTCAGTTTCTTTTTTCATTTTGATTCTTTATCAATGGGAATTTTTTGAAGGACCAGGAAGAACTTTTAGTGGTTTTAATGTTGTAGATTACAGTTAGCAACGGTACAAAACAAGCTGTGAACAATAAGAAAAAACAAAGGTAGGGAGGAAGGTACAGCGTTTCACGTGTGCCAGTGTGTGGGCAGCTTTCAGTCAGCTGTAAGTAGCTTCCTTGTGGGCCTGTTTTGTTCACTTATGAAGAAGTGAGTAATAAATTACCTTGTCAGTCCAGGAAGGCAATTAGTAAATAGTTCTGTCATTTTATTTAAAATTTTATCGCTGCATTTAAGTCACTGGAACCATTCTTTATTTCAGAGACATGTTGTGGGCATGATTAATTTTAAAAACAATTCCTTTTGCTTTTTTTTTGCCTAGACCTTTAGTTGATGCAGTTCCATTCTAATTTTAAAATTGGTATTAGTGTGATTTCTTGTAAATGTACAGTTCAAATAGGGATAGTTTTTAGGAAAGCAAATTGGTGATGAACATGTCTGCAATCAGCTTCTTCAGACAGGTTGATGCAGAATAAGCCCTTACAACAGAAGGACAGACATACAGAGTGACTAGGCAAGGGCCACATGCTTTATAGGGTGAAATGCACCACTTTATCTAAAGCAGTTTCAATATAACATGGCTTTAGGGATGAATTTTTTCCTGGCTATTTACTGTTTTTTCTGGAGCTAAGCTATATCTACCAACAATAATTCTTCTATTAAAAATATATTTTCTTTTTTTTTTTATTACTACAGAATAAAGCTTTTTAGATCTTCGTATGCCCTTGGCCTTAGAGATAATCCTTTGCAGTACAATAAAAAGTCTAGCTGTGTGTCACAACTACAAAATAAACAAAAACAAACTCCAAAACCTCCTTCAACCTTATTTGGGCTCATCACCCTTTTACTTTGAATGCTACTTTTTAAAAGAGAGATCCTTTTGGGAATATTATTTTTTCCAGTTTTTTTACATCGTCCTCTACCACTGTTCAGATCCTTTATGGTATGAATCATCCTGGTTTTTCTGTAGTCTCTTCATCTGAAGATTTTTTTCATCTTCTGATTATTCTTGCCACTTGCCCTTCAGCTCTATTTTTGTATTTTCTTTTAGGAAGGAACAGCCAGTACTCCAGGGGAGGGCTCCTGCTTTTGCTTACTTACTGGGCATTGCATTTCCTTTATCAGTCTCTTTCCTATTTCAGTTAACCTTGGGGTTTTTTGTCTGTTCTGGTTTTTAAACAATTGCTGCACATTTGCAAAGACTTTTATGGAGCTCTCCACACCAGGAAACTCCCTTCCTTTTTTTTAATGCCCCTGACTTGTGAATAGCCCTTTCTGCTTGAGGGACTGCACCATGCTGTGGCTGGATTACCAACTGTAGTGAGTTCATTTCTTTTTCAAAGCTCATGTGGACTGTACCAAACCTGGGTGCTGTGAGGTACATTTTCTGCAGAAGGAAAGCAATTATTTTTGCAGAGTCTCTCTTCTTGGGCACAGTTCATCAGTTTTGTTTTGTTTAAAAGTTTCATTCCTAGGTAAGTTTAAAGGCAGTGTCTACAGAGAGTAAAAATTTAGGCTGGAAGTACTGTTTTGAAAACCTAAAGATACATTTGGGACAATTTTATGTATGACAGGCAAGAAGCCCTTCTGAAAGGAAGGAGTTATGTGTTTATATTAAATAGAAACTGAATGTCCCATGACACAGTTAGAGAAAGACTAAACTCACCAGTTAAAACTGAATGTTTTGAGTCTCCCACTTAAATGTTTTAAAGATATGATTATTAATTGAAGCATTATACTTTTCTGAGATTAAATATATATATCTTGCTCATATATGCATATCTCTGGTTATGAGCCAATTTTTCTCTGTTCTAATCTTGATTTGTAAAGTTGTTTCAATGAATAAAGGGTGAGGGACAAATCCAAATAAAACTGTTTCTTGATGTGTTTATCTAAGAGGCCCCAGGAAGTGCTGTATATGAGTTCCAGGCCACAGGCTGAAACTGATTTTCATCAACAGAAATGGGAATGCAATGTAATGAGCCTGCAACTGGTTAAAATCAGACCACTTCTAATTGATTATGCCTGTCTAAAGAGGCTACAATTACAAAGAGGTTTTCAGAGAACAGCTCTGCCTAGGCCTTTCCTACATTATGATTATTTTCTGTAAGTGATTTGTTGTTTTCAGTTAATAAAATCTGTCTCTTAAAGTGCAGGAGGATAGCCCTTAGGGAATTTACTTCACAAATTCAAAAACCATCATCTTTAAAATGTTGGCTAAGGAAGGCAGGGAGTAATGGATACCAAAAGCATCTTGTCCAGCTAAAAATGTACTGCTGGTTAAATGATGATTATTTATCTTAAACAAAACAAAACAACCCCCAAACCCCATAGTTATTCCTGTTTGCTGGACTGGATGGAAGTGTTGCTTGATTCATGTCACTGGCAAAAGACAGTTTTCTTTCCTTGAGGTGATAGGTAAAATCTAGAACTTTTTACTCCGCTCCTGATATGTCTAATGGCTTTCAGATATGCTGAGACAGTACATATAGCCAAGACTATATAAACTTAAAAATATTTTGATTCTGCTGTCAATTGTGGTTGGAAGCAAGCCTTAAAAAAAAGAAAAAAGAGAAATATAGAAATACTATTTTTACCTTTATTGAGAGTAAAGAAAGTTCTTACCAGCTATAGGATTATTTGATGAGCTAATGTCTACTGTCACTACTAATAGTTATTAGTAGTGTCCAGGGAATTTGTTCTTGCAGACCTCTTTGATGTAATTTGTCCACATTATCTGTTTTATAGATCAGAAATCACAGATGTTTAGGCCTTTTCATTCTCCTGGGAGAACAATGCAGTCCTCTTGCAGAGAATATTCTGGCACTTCCTCTCTGCTTCAGATATTACAGAGGAATAAAGTAGCATTTGTAGGCAGATTGGGTTGGAGAAAATGACCTAGAGTCCAGGTGCGAACATGTTCAGCCTTGGCTGTGTATATGGTTATTTGCAAATTCACAAGTTTTGATCAGGAGGAGTTAGAAGCAGAGGTCTGTAGAGCTCCAGATCCATGTGTGCGTCTGAGGTTACACACTTTGCTGTGCTCTCAGAGATGGCCTTTGCAAGAGATGGGATACAGGACTCTGGTGTGATACACTGTTTCACTAAATAAGATTCCTCTGTTGAATATATGAACTTCTGAGAGGATCTGTCATAGACATTCTGCCTTCAGATCTTTTGGCAATTGGTGTTTGCAGCAAAACAGCAAGATGAGAGCATTGCTGTGATCTGCAGTGCTGCTCATGGAGGAGCCAGAGTGCTGAATTGCAGTGAAAGCTCAGATCTGCCATGCTCTGTCTCTCTGTAACAGATGAAGAATGCCACAAGACAGAGGTCACATTTTCCTTCTTGCTCACATCTTGAAAAAGTTTTCTTGTAGTATTTTGTAGTTTTGTGAGGGGAAAAATTGATGCAACTCTCTATAATGGACTTGATTAATAGAAGTGCATTTTGGCCAGAGTTGTGTTCCAAAAAATGGCACTTGTTGATAGAGCTCTGTCAATGTACGTGAAGTAGGATGTAGAACAGAAGAGGGAAAAGATGAAAGAAAATTTTGCTAAAGATAATCCTGCCGAGTTGTTGCTTTGTCCTGTGTATATGCTGTCAATCTGGTTTGGCCTGTTGTCAAGTGTAGTGTCTTCAGAATTCAAGTTTGGTGGGAAAGAGAAAACATTTAAACAGGATGTCAGATAGGTTGAATCTATGTTTTAGGAAAAGATGCCACTTGTAGTCTAACTAAGCATTTTTCCTTTTTCCATTTGAGGTGGAAGAGTTTATAAAAGTTCTTGAAATTAACCAAACTCCAGTGTTGTGGTTAACCATGGGAACAGTTCCTTAGTATGTAAATGATTAATCCTGTTCATAGAGAGATTGTTTTGATACCAAAATGGAGTAGCCAGTATTCTGCTCTAACTTATTTTCTTTCCTGGAGTTTTCCAAAAGCATAATTCCCATTTTCTTGCTTTCTTCTGAATACCTAAACCATATGTAGTTGTAGGTTATGATTCTTATATTCTGCTCATGAACTAAAGAAATGGTTGCAAAAAATACTGTGCACTACACATGTGTGTATGTGATGAGAAACATGAGGTATTGTTTCAACTGTCTGCTGATTTTGTCCTCAAATACAACAAAATACTTTTTAAAATAACATACAGAGCAAATATCATTCTCTTGGTTATATTTGTCCTTTTTAATTGGAAGTTATAAAATACATTGATAGAAATAATATGAATTATCAAACTTATGGATGTTTTGCCGTGCTTTGCAATGCAAAGCACAAATTGCTCTTTACATAGGAATCTCTTAAATGTTTGCCTGAATTACGTGATTTGTAGGTCTTTTAAATAGCATTTGAAGGTTGTGGCCATGTTGTTTCCTGTATCATAGTTCCTAATCTTTTCTTATTCGGTAAGAAGCAAGATGGTAGCCAAGTTTTTCCAGCAGGCTAAC